ACAACACTCTCACACACAATCCAGAGCTCATACCAATATGTATCATACACAACACCCTCACACACAATGCAGAGCACATACCAACACGTATCATACACAGCACTCTCACACACAATCTGGAGCTCATACCAACACGTATCACATACAACACCCTCACACACAATCCGGAGCACATACCAACACATATCACACACACAACACACTCACACACAATCCAGAGCACATACCAACGCGTATCACACACAACACCCTCACACACAATCCGGAGCTCATACCAACACGTATCACACACATATGCATGTACACAGGCACACTTCATATCAGACACCAAACACATACACACAACACACACATGGTTATATTCAGTGTATTCTGTAAGAGGGAGAAATTGTGCTAAATTCAAGAAACATTTTCATAACATTTGATAACACTTTTAGGATCATGAAAGTCAAATTGCAGGTTACACAGAATGTTCACCCATCCAGAATGACACAGTCCACAACCTTCCAGACCACAGGTTCACATATTTGATATTTAGGGCATCTTTTTTGGTGGGGGGGAGAGATTTTTTTTTTTTTTCCAAAACATTGCACCATATAAAGCAAAGCTCTAGTTGATGTGAGCGTGCTGGGTAGATGTTAGCAGTACTGCCCTCCCTATGCACTCATTGGATAGTAGTGCAACCCCAAGAAAAGAATGGTAGGGGCATCTGGTTTTATAACTTTTATTTCATTGCACAGAAATTAGCACCCCACTGGTCTTAAACATTGTACTAGGAGCTCTATAAATGTTCCCAATTTAGTCTTCACATGAAATCTTATAAGATAAATATTTTGAATACCAGATTTATAGAAGCTAAGGGGAAAATTAGAAAAGTTAAAACCCGAGTCTTCCTTACTGGCTCCAGAATTTCCCTGTGGGGCAGCACTGTGGTCAAAGGTGAGGCCAGGGATTTACACTGCAGACAGGCTCTCCTGTGGACCTAAGTTCACTTGGGGAGCAGCCTGCTGGAGACCTGCTGAGGGAGAAAGGCGAAATCCCTCCAATGGCTCCATCCTGCCCCTTCCTGAAATTCAATTACCCTCACTGAGATTAAAATCTGAACCTATATGAATCAATGCATTTCACAGAGAATACATCTGCTATTCGACCCCCTCCCCCAAAAGGCGAGTCCTTTCACTTTATTCTTATCTAAAATCTTATCTGCATATTTTGCGACTTTTTTTGAAAACTGAGATAGCAAAAGGCACTTATAGCTAATGTACACAAAGCAAGGGAACCTTTCAAAACAAGTGAGAGTATATTATAAATGTCTTACCACAAAAATAACTGAGGTGATCTTATATTAATTAGCTTGATTTAAGCATTCCACATGGTATATCAAATCATTATATTGTATCCCATACAAGCATACAGTTATGATTTAATAAAAATTAAGTAAAAATAAATAAATAATAAAAGGCACTTACAGCTAATGCTAATTGTCTAAGCCCTATCATTGAAGGACAGTGTGAAGCTAAGGCAGCCAGGGCAGTGTAAAAAGTCTGCAGTGATTAGCAGCCCTACTTCTGCTCTCCTGCTAAAACTGTCAAGAAATGGTGTGCTGTCTCCCGCTTCTGGGGGCTGTACACCTTCAGATTTCCTTTTCATTTATCCACCAAGTTTAGGCTTTCATAGTCAAGGTCACTGCCTTGATTAATGACTCAAAGGTTAAAAGGAAAGTCGCAGGCAAGAGAAAGAAGCAGCGGGGTTGCACTGGGAGGGGAGCTTCCCGGCTCAGAAGCACCTCACTAAGGATAACACCCTCGCCTGATGAAGATGGATGATGCGATCTCCTGGCCATTAGTATGCGCTGGCAGTTCATCCCGAATGGAGAGATAGATAGCGCTAGCTATTTATTTGAGAAAAGTTACACAGTTTGACACATCCTCTCTTTCTCTTTTCCTCCAGAGGCTCTCGAACACTGCAATTAGGGAAAACTAGTGTTAAAGGGAAGCCGTACAAAAGACTGGTTGGCTCTGTCCTGTTCGCAATGCCTTTTGCTTTCTTGCCACTTCTTTCACATGTGTTCTATGAACCAAAGAGCTAATTTTCTAAGAAAACTATCCTGACAGTTCATTTAATAGCAAAAGCCGTGTAGAGGCAGCTTTCGCAGGGGGGGACTGGTTAAGCTTCTGTGCTCACTATGTTGAAAAGACCCTAAATAGGATCTACTCTCAAAAATGAGTACACCCCAACCAAAATAGAACCAAATGTTAGGCACAGTCTTTCAGTTCAGAAAAGTATTCATGGTTTTTGGAATAAAGATTAAAATTTTTGTTATTCATGTTGCCATTCTTAACACTTTTAATTGTCATGATTGCCACCATGTTGACACAAAATTAAGTCAACCCAATTTAACAAGCACATTTTATTACTGTGCTCAGATGGGTTGTACATACAATACAGCTTGTCAGAATGTAAAACAAAGAAAATCTAGAGTTAGTAGGAATTATAGGGGACAGCAGAGATCGCAAGAGAAAGCTATCTACCTTCTGTAAGAGGACACAGCTTGGAGGCATGGCCCTGAAGAAATGAGACCAGCCATGTAATGTGTGGGGCCTAGGAGAAAATAAAAACTCACGCCTCTTTTTCAAGTTATAAAGAATTTCAAGATGGTAACAGGAGGGCTTCATGCCAGGCATGGAGCTTCATAAAACTGCATACACAGCAAGCCTGGGAAGCAGCTATGCAGGGAAGGGGTAAGAAAGAAAAGCACACACTACTTCATACCCTCATACCCACAAAGAGCTGTGCTTCAGAGGACATAGCACAGTGAAAAGGCAATCTACAGAAGGGGAGAAACATGCAAATTGTAGATCTGATAGGTGGTTAATACTCAACATATATAAAGAAGTCCTATAACTCCACAATAAAAAAAAAACTAAAAAAAATGGGCCAAGGATTTGAGTAGAATAATTTCTTGACTATGACACCAATTACAGGCAATAAAAACAATAATAGACAAATGAGACTATATCAAACAAAGACATTCATGCATGAAAGGATGCAGTCAACAGAGTGAATAGACAATCTTTTGAATGAGGAGAAAATACTTGCAAATTATATATTTGATAAGGGTTTAATACCCACAATAAAAAGACCTACTACAACTCATCAAGAAAATGTAAAATAAACTTTTTAAAATGGGCAACGGACTTGAACTGACATTGTCCCAAAGAGGATATACAAATGACCAACAAACATATGAGAACATGCTCCACATCACTATCATTAGACAAAGGCAAATAAAAACCACAAGATATCATCTCAGATGGCCACTATTTAAAAAAAGACACAGAGAAAATAAGAAACAAGTGTTGGTGATGATGTGGAGAGAATGGAACTCTTATACACTACCAGTGGGAATGTAAAATGATGCAGCTGCTATATAAAACAATAAGACGGTTCCTAAAAAAATTAAAAATAGAATTGTCATATGATCCAGAAATCTCACTTCTGTGTATATATTTGAAAGAACTGAAAATAGGTTATTGAAGAGATATTTGCTCATCCTTGTCCACAGGGGCATTTTCCACAGTATCCAAGAGGTAAAAGCAACCCATCTATAGATGAATGGATGAGTGAGATATATGTATTATATGTGTGTGTGAAATGGAATATTATTCAGCTTTAAAAACAAATGAAAGTCTGGTACATGCTAAAACATGGATGAGCCTTGAGGACATTATGGTGAGAGAAATAACCCAGTCACAAAAAGGCCAGCGCTATAGGAGTCCACTCATGTAAGATGCTTAAGGCAATCACGTTCACAGAAAGTAGAGGGTGGCTGCAAGGGACTAGGGGGTGAAGAGGAGGGTGAGGGATATTGTTGAATGGGTAGGGAGAGTTTCAATTTTATGAAACAAAGAGTTCTGAAGACTGCACAATAATTAAAATACACTTAACACCACAGATCCAAACTGTACACTTAAAAATGGTGAAGAAAGTAAATTTTGTTATATATATTTGACTACAATTAAAAAATTAAAAATTTTAAAATGCAAGTGAATGAGAACACGGTGTACTTTCCCCTGATTTCAGCAGTTACATCAGCTCTCAAACCAGGACTGCATAACTTACCTCCCTACTGAGGCTACCTTTGGGGGATAGCAGGAGCTAACTTGTGTTTTCTAAGAAATCTATGTGGCTTCCCTTGCTTAAAAAAAAAAAAAAAAAAAAAAAAATTCATGCTCTCATATCCCCTACCTCTCTGGACCACACCTTCTGCTGAGTTTCAGCCCACTCCTTTGATCACCTCTTTCTCTCTCTCTCATGACTTCCCAAGTTCCCACTCACATTTTTTAGCTTAAAGTGATAAGAAAAAGAGGATGGAGATAGTTCTTTCTCCTGAGACACTGACCTAATCTCTAAAAGCCCCCCTTGCTTGGTTAGTTGCCACCTGTTAGGTGCAATGTAGGGTTGTACGGCACACTTCCTGGGTGAGGGACTCAACCACAACTCAGACTTTTGACTCTCCCATACAAAACACAAATAATGTAACCTAATCATATGTACCCTCACATTAACCCATCATAAAAATATTTAAATAAAATAAAATAAAAATAAAAGTCTGCCATGAAAGGTGAATACGTGCTATTGGTTTGGGGATTACAAATGCAAATATTATTTACCTTGCATCACTGTTGTCTTGTCTGTCTGTCGGATTTCCAGTTAACTGCAAGAAGGAATATAGTCAGATATTTCTGTTGAGGCAACATCCATTCTGTTGGGGGCAATCCCAGGCTTCTCTGCCCTTCCCTCCAAAACTGGGGTGTCCTCTCATTCCCATTGTGCTTTCTCAGTTTTTATACTTGGCTTAAACTTTAGTTTCCAAATAATTCTTCCTGTAATCCAAGCCCTCCCATGGCCCCCAGCCCATTTATCTGAACCAGATTGTGCAGAGGGACCCACGAAGCATGGGAAGAAACCATAACTTCTATTCTTATTTATTTTTAATTTCTTCCTTTGTTTGTAATTGTTCAGCCATTGTGTCTGTTTTATAAGGCACATATATGATGTTTTGTTTTAAGAAGTATTTAGAACATTTATATAAAATCAATGCATGTATATTGAGGAAGGCACTTTGCGAAGGCAGGGGGTCGTGCCATTAAAATACATTGGAACAACCAACATGCTGGGTCCTTGCCAAGTCTTTGGAGCTCAGTCTTGTCCACTGATGATCCAAGGGTTGGCTGAAGTCCTGCCTCAAATGGAATGGACCACCTAGCATCGTAACTATTCAATCACCTCCAATCCTCAGACAGGACCTGATTAGGTATGAAAATCAGCCCAGTTGAAACCAGAGTTTCTGTATCCTCTTGCAAATTACTCCTCACTCTGAGACCACAGTGGGAAAGCAGAATGATGAAAATTAGACCTCTTAGGTAGCTGCTTTCTGCTACTCCAGGCCTCACAAGCTCCTATAAATTGTGACAGCTGCTGGATGTATACACGGGTAGAGGGAGAAAGAGAGTGTGAAACAAAGGGAAACCACAGGGCAATAGATTTGGGGTGAGGATTAGGTAGCAGCCACACTTCACCTACCTTTTGCTACTATACAATGGGCTGAGAGGCTCCCACGTACCTCCCAGTGGCACCCTCTAAAACACATCTCTCATACTCTTCCCACCTGAGTGTCACACCAACCGACTACAAAGGG